TTCTGGTTGTCTATGAGAAGAGTACCATGGTGTCATTCACTCTTAATGTTAAAAGCACCTAATATATGTATATTGCTATATGCAAAATTTTAATATTTTAAGAGGGGAAATTTTTTACACTGATTCCGCCAGGTTTATAGGTGGTATGTTAATTGGCGTCTTTTCTGTTTGTCAGTGAAGTTTTTGCAAATTCCCCATTCTTTATTTCGGCAGAGTTAGCTGGTGCATTGGAAGCAAGGTAGGCTTCAAAAAAGTTTCCATGATGTTTTCAGTTTATTAGATATTTCCAGTTTGAACTTATTTAGTTTGTTTTCTTCAGCAAAAATGAGGACTACAGGGAAATAATTATTCCAGCTGGGAGAAACTATGAGGTTTGCACTCATCTGTCCTCTAGATATATGTACGTTTGTATATTGCCTGAGAAATTCATCCAAGTGATCTGCTTTTGTAATTGAATTAAGCTATCATTTTGGAAAAAGAATTCCGGCATGTCTATGTAAACGAGCCTTTAAAAGAATTGGCCTGCATCTGTTTAAGATGGATAAGTTGGAGCACTGCTAGATCATAAACTTGTTAGCTCCAATTGCTTTACTTCCATGACGTCAAATCACTAATTTCTAACATTTTCCATTTCTTTCCTCTTCTTTTTGAATTTGATGTCTGCTTTATTTTCAAGTAGCCGGAAACTCTCAAATGCTTTGATGAATTTTTTAACTTATTTTTTGGAACAGCTTTTCTAATGTTTTCTTTTTTTTTCTTTTTAAAATTGATTTCCCTTCTGATGTTAATACTTAGACTAACATGAATAGTGCTCGTTCATGCATTTCCTAGGTTTCACTGATCGTGGAATCAATCAACTCCTATATTGCCTGGGATTTCTCATTGGTGCAAGGCAAGATGAACATGGTATTATTATTAGATATCAGATCTTTTCTTTCTTTCCTCATTATTTCCTTTTTTTTTTTGAGGGGGGGAGGGGGCTGTCGGGGTTTATTATGTTTTTAAATTATTGGGTTGTTAAGACAACTTTTACTATGAGATGTTAAATTCAGAATTAGTGCAGCCTAATTAGTCATTTGCACATGCTTCTCACCTTCTGGCATCCTGTGTTTCCTTTGACCAATAGTGTTGCATTTTTTTCCCCTAAAGACAACCTAGTTATTTAGTTTTCTAGAACCCATTGGTCGATAAGTTTTATTATAGAAATAGTGGATAAGATAAATCTCTCAACAATAAAATAAAATAAAAAATGATGAAAGAGGTCAATCTATTTAGAATTAGAATTTTACCAGTGACAAGGCAGAAGTTTCACTAAAAATTCTTTTAAAAGTCATGAACTAAACTTTAGAGAAAGAAATGAGATATGTCCTGATACCTAATGCTTGGTGAAGAGTAACAAAATTTACTAAAGGAATGGACACACAAAGAAAGATAAAGGAGAAGAAAAGCTTTTAAAGGAAAAAAAATATTTACCCTGTTTGAGTAACTAAAAAATGAGAAAGTAAAGTAATAAAGAAATTGTTGTAATACATTGCTTTGTTTGAATTAATAAAGGATGAAAAAATAACTATAGAAAATTGAATAATATTTTTTGTTAATAGAATGACAAGCTAAACAGTTAGCTGAATTAAATAGAAAATATATTAAAATTTTGAAGTTTTATTTTTCTTCATTTTCACTTATTTAGGAGAGTGAAAAGACAAAATTACATTTTTAGAGGATGAGCATCCTACACTCTCAGTTATGAAAAACTGCTGTTCTCCCCTCTTTTGTGCAATTTAGGGTCTTAATGGATGCGATAATATTAGCACTAATGTACCGGATTTCATCAAAACTCTGCAATTAGGTGTGCTTGGATGAGAGTCGTATTAAGATGGGTGACCTCCTTAGAACTAGTGTTGCACTTATCTTTTAAAAAGAGGCTCAACTAGTTGGGGTGATGGGATGCAAAGCTGTCAGTCTTCCAATCAAGTATCTTGGGGTCCCATTGGGGGTAACTATAAAGACAATAGAACATGGGAACCTGTGGTTGAGTTGTTTGAAAAAAGATTAGTTGGTTGGACGAGAAATTTTCTATATAAAGGAGGTAGATTCACTTTAATTAAAAGTGTGCTGTCCAATCTCCCAATCTATTATTTGTCTACTTTGATGATCCTAGTAAATGTGATAAGGAGATTGGAGGCTATATAGTGCCGCTTCCTTTGTGGTGATGAGGATGACAGAAGGAGATACCACTTGGTTAAATGGGATGATGTCAAATTACCTATTAATCAAGGTGGTTTTGGGATTAGATCCATTGTGGAGATGAATGTGGCTTTTCAAAAGGAAGTGGATATAAAGATTCATGAATGAGGACAAATTGTGGAAGAGGGTTATTGAGGCAAGGTGGGGGACCATTGATGACGTGAGGACTAGGGGAATGGTGAGGAGACTGCATTGGTTGGGTTTGTGGAGGAAGATTAAGGTGAAATAGCCTAGATTCTACGAGTGCATTTAATGGAGGCTAGGAAGAGGAAACCGGATCAGATTTTGACAGGATGAGTGGATTGATGGGGGGAGCCTTATGAGACAGTTCC